CGCTGATGCTATTGACACCACTGCAATGCTGACAACGCCACCAAGGGCAATGCTCATAATCACGCCAGCCTTGCTACGTCACGAACGCGGGGTATCTTTTCTTTCTGTTTTTGTTTGCACCCGACATCCCATGAGAAGCCGAGTGCACCGTTTGGAACGAAAAATATAGCATATCGTTCAAAATACAAACGTGCGATTATCATTTGTGGTTATTATCCGTCATGCTTGACTCATTTACGAACGAAATCTGAATATTTCAATTTTTGTTTCCGTACCCCTTTAATGACCTTCCAGTCCACGTCTCATCCTCCACTGGTCTGTTCGCCGACGACTGCTCAATATACTCTGAAATAACTAACGATTTTTATGTTTAGTCACTTCAGAGTGACCTTAACAATGTTTCTTCCAGGTTTGATAGATGGCAAATGAAACTTAACATTAACAAGTGTAAATCCACGAGTATCACGTCAAAATAACCCTTGTCCTTCTTACAACAACAAAAGTGTTGCATAAGATTCTGCATCCTTATATAAAAGCCTTGGCATACACATAAGTACAGTGAAACCCGTCTAGAATGAACCCACGTACAGCGAATTATAGTCGATATCGAACTCACGGAAATTTAAACGAAAATGCATGTAAAAAGTACTACTTGTTATAACGAACCACATCTTGGCTGTATCAATCAAACCCCCCCCCCCCCCCCCGGGAAGGCTTCCAAAAACGCACAAACAATTGCCGTCTAGCCTGTCCCTTCCCCCCAAAAAGAAGTAGGAAAGAAAGAAAATTCCAAAAGCTCAAGTTGGAATGAAATTAAGCGAAGAGAGGTAATTCAGAAGGGGAGAAAGCTAGAAAATACAGTATAGACCACTTACAACGTAACCGCTTATAGTGCAGGACCGGGTATAACGCGGTTTTTTTGAACCACCGGTTCGCCTCCCATAGAACTCCATGTAATTACATACCGCTTAAAATGCAGGCGCACGAAGGGAAATACCGGTTATAGTGCGGTTTCTGGCACAGCCCGCCGATCGCGCCGACAACCGGAGCAGCGAGCACGCTTCCCTGTGCGACACTAGATAGCGGCGCTGACGGCGCGAGCAAGCGTGGCAAGCCGGGCAAGCGGCACTCGCGGGGCAAGGAGGTTGCTCGAAGAAGGGGGGAGGAGCGAAGAGAGAGGCTTCAGTTGCCATAGCGACGGAGGGACGCACGCACGTGTCGTTCACGTGCGCGTGTCCCTCTGCTGCGTTTGGAAACAACCGCAACGACAGACCAATCGCAAATCGAGGAGAAGTGTTTGCGCGCGATGCATGCCGGTCGCGGGTCGGCTGCTTCTATCCGCAAACATGGCGTCGCGTCGGTTGTAATCGTGGTCGCAGACAGCGTTCATCTCATCATTCCGCGTAAAAGCGCTATCCTTGACTGTGAATTTTCGTTGTGTGTCGCTATGATAACCCAGCACGTACTAGAAGGGAAGATCCACCTACTCGTGCGGCGATGTCATGGCGGCACTCTCAAGACGGCAGAAACGCCCGTGTCGTCGTGTTTGTTTACTTCGACTACAGTGGTGCTTTCTAAGCATTTGTGTCCTCGAACATCGCCCGGATTTCTTATTTGGCGCATTTCATGCGTGCGCTCAAGTTCAAGGTATTACTGACGCATACCGTATGAAGGATGCGAATTTTCACGCGTTTTCATCGCCCGAGAAAAGTGATTAGGGTTAGCAATCCTGAACGCTCGCAAAGTCCGCCCGCAACCCGCGACACCGTTAAAAGGCTGCGCCAGGCAAAAGTCGCTCATTTCTTTCAAAATGTGTGACACACTTGAGAGAGAACTGTACTAGTATGGTGAAATAAAGACTTTCCTCAAACTAAGCTTTATTTTTTATGTAACATAAGATAAATTATTTTACAAAGGTAGGTTGTCTCATGGCATGTATTTTGGCCTGAAAAATTGATGTTTTAGTTATAACGCGGTACCGCTTATAGTGCGGATTTTCGCGACTCCCGCGACATACGTTATATGCGGTCTACACGATACACTGCACGCACGCACAGAAAAAAAAAACCTTTTCATTCCAAAGCGTTTGCCCACGAAGAGAAGCGATTCAGAAGGGGAGATAAGCTAAAAAAAAAAAAACTTTGCAAGCATGCAAAAAGACAAAACAAAAAACAACTTTTTAACACGTTGTTACAAGGCAGAAGTGAAGAGATGACAAAGAGAAGCTTTCGCCTTACAATGAATGCATCGAGGAAGTTCAATGTAAACGGTTTTTGCTCTATCAAACTACTTGCTATGTCGAACTGATCGTAGCGTTTCCTGCTGTTTGTTATAAACATGTTTGACTGTAGTAACCTAACGTGGAACGTTCATATGAATATGTAACTAGTACTGCTACCCGCATGATCGGCATCCTCAAAAGAAACTTTTCTCCTGCACCACTGTCCTTAAAACAGCTCCCTTAAAAATCCTCAGTTTGCAGTAAGCTCGAATACGTAGCCACTATTTGGGATCCTGCTAAAACTCTCGCATTATCGCTAGAAGTGGTTCAAGACCGTTCCATTTGTTTCATACTACATGACTATTATTGCACATCAAGCATGACCGCAATAAAGATAACTGTAGGGCTGCCTGACCTCTTCCTCAGCAGAAAAGTATCCCGGCTTTGCCTATTTCATAAGGTCTACCACCATAACCCCTCATTACGTCAGCATCTCTTAACATAACCATCCTATCTCTCATCACGTGTCGATCATCGAAATAAAGTAGGCGTCCCCCTTTGTCACTCATCAAGTTTTCACCAGTCTTTTACACCACCAATATCTCTGGATTGGAATCGCTTTCCAGCACCTATTGCCGATATAGTCGAAAGCACCGAATTTAAAGATGCCATTTGAGAGTTTGTTTCGTGTTCAGATTAACAGTTTTGTGCGACTTCATCTGCTTCTAAATAGTTTTCTGTACATATTTCGATGCTTTGTTTCTTTTATATTCACCTGCCCAGTTTTCTCTGTGTATGTTATTCAGGTGCTTTTTGTCCATTCCCCTTTGTAATGCCTTTGGGCCCCGAGGGAGGAAATAAATAAATAAATAAGAGCCCCGTTACTGGATCACGTTGGCTGTACAACTTTCCGAAAACGCTGTGCAATGGAGAATGTTTGAAACCGTGTCCGAATATTTATGGCAGTGGCATAGCCGTAGTGTTAGACTCGTGCAGTTTCCTGGTTGCAAGTTTTTCACAAAAGAGACTTATCATCGCCTCCATGCTTTTAAATTTGGAGAAATGCGTAGGATTCTCTTTGTAGGCGACCCGGTGAATCTAAACAAATCTACCGCAAACGTGCTGCACGTGCAAACACACTTCTTTTTCAACTTTTGGCGGGCAAGGATTTTAGACGCGTTTCGACACCCGCAGCGATCCAGAGAAAAGCGTTGTCATAGGGACTGAGCAATTTTATAAAAACATTTCGATGCAAATGGCAGCCTTACTTATTGAAAACCGTCTGTCGCCCGAAAGCAGGAAGGACGGTAACCAATGGCAACGTTGCCCGATGTGCAATGCGGGCACCCTCGCAGGCGGCACGTGAGGAAGCCCCCCTCCAGCGTTGAATTCCGCAATCGAGTCGATGCAACAATGTCGGTTCAAGACGACGTCACTATACTCAGCACCAACTACTTCCTGCTATGTCGTCGAGGCTAGCGCAGCCTCCGCATTGCTCCAGTTTTGCCAAAGCCGATTGGGTGAGCACGAGCGCATGGGACGCCAGACGAAGCCACCCGCTCTTGTGGGCAGTGCGGCGCTGCAGCACCGTGGAAGCCACGCTAGCCTCGACAATGTAGCACAGTAGATGCCGAGCATAGATCGACTCGGTCATGGAACTGTCCATAGACACTGCCTACACGCGCACACCTCACTTTCCCCCAAAGGTTTGCATCCCGCCATCCGAAGCGCCGCAGTTTGTGAGACTGCCGTTATGGTAGCTACAGTCTACTGCATTTTTTCGAATGTAAGTCGACTTTTTTTTTTTTTGAAAATGTTGTCGAAATTTAAGGGTCGACCTACAATCGTGACAAGGGAATTTCGACCTACATTCATAACCGAATTTCGCGGCCCTACAGAGTGCATTGAGCTAAAGAGTCACCGAGTCAGCATCGCCGTAGCGCCGAGCCGCTTTTTTTTCAAAGCTGTAGGTACACGAAAACAACTAAAACAGAAAACAGCAGCAGCAGGTGGGCCTGGGCTCGCGCGCATCCCTCGAGCGTCGGGTTTCGTGCCTGTCCGCAACTGCCGCGGCTAGCGCCGCTCCCGCATGCCCCTCGCGACGCAAGGGGGAAAGGGGGATGCAACAGCCACGCACCTTGCCCCCTCCGCTCTGTCCCTCTCCCCCTTCCAGATGCGTGGCAAAAACAAATATGGAGGTTTCACTTCTTGTTGCTAACGGCGGCTCGGCTCGTGGCGGCTAGCAGTGGTGCTTGCGTCTTTATGTTGGGTCTTTCGTCGCTTCGCCCATCTCTACCTTCTTTCGTTTCTTGTTGCCATTTTGCAATGGTGTCAGCGAGGTTTTGCTGCGAATTTATGAGGACGTCGACGAAGCGTCCAACGACGACGACATGTCCGGAAGTTCCGACGATGATTAAGCTTTTGGCATCATGCTGCGATTTAGCTGGAAGCGCTTTAATTAAAGGTTTGTCTAATTCTTTTGCCAAAGCTTTGTTCTTAAAAAAAAAAAAAAGAATAGTCAACCTACAATACATTTTTTTTTTTTTTAATTCTCGGCGAGTGTAATATAAAGGCATCGACCTATACTCATGGTCGACATACATTCGAGTAAATACGGTACTCTGGAAGAAAGTTTCCATGTACAGCACCTAGAAGAAGCTTAAACAACGCCTCCGAAGGGAGTTCGCTTCTTTGTGGGTGTTCCACAACCGAGTACATTTGGTAACGCCGATTGGAGGGGGCGGCACCGTCCCGCTTCCGAAAAGCGACCCCTCCTCACCTAGAGCTCCGTACTGAGCGCCGGCTGGAGGTCCACGTGAATGGTGATCTTGTTGGGGTCCTGGTTGGTGGGCGTGACGTCCCCGTTGGGGCCCACGGGGGTCACGGGGCCCTCCTCCTCCCCTCCCGAGGGGCAGTAGGGCACGTAGATGCGCACCCCTTCCGGAGACCCCTGCTGGGCCCTGCACACACCGGCCCCACGGGGGTTCAGTCCACGCCTCTCGCGGCTGCAACTCTACAGCCTCGTCATCCAGGAAGTGCTGGCTCCACACAATCTGCTCAAAGAGGGGGTATTTGCCAGAGTGGGTACACCATACTTTTTTAACCATAGTCCGGAGGGGCAAATTTGAGCTGAAAAGAAAAAGTTGTTCCATAGATAGCCGACATCCCGTACACATTTGCCAAGTAAAAAATCCTCCCACGTGGTGCACCTCGAAAAATGCCTCCTCTATTAGCTCACAAAGAAGCCTGTATCCACAGAAATTGTCGTTAACGTAATCTGTCATTCACAAAGTCCATCCCGTCCAGTCATAATAAATAATCATTAAAAAAAAAAATTGCCACATAGTTTGCATATGCACATAGGTAGTTCGCACTGCACAAAATTTTGACATTTGAACACGCAAAGCCCGATGACTATGGTCCAGGAACATATGGTAATAAACCGGGAGGAAAAAGATTTGACACCTTCGCATGCAATCCAGCAAACTTTTTCCGTGGTGTTGAATTGTGGCAATGGTGGGAATATAGAAAATGAATATTACAGACAAAAAAAAAAGGAAATGAAAGATGGTAATATTTTTGAAGATTGTTGCAGCTACTGAAGGGCGAGCATTGATTGCATGGAAAGAACGAAAGGCGCTTATGTTAACGAGAGAACTTTTCAGTGCGATGACACGTCATTACGGACATGGGATGGCTAATCCAGAGTGGGTTATGAATTAGTAACAGAATATGGCGGGGGAAAACTTGGTTGCCAGATCTCCGGTCGTGCTTCCTAGACTGTCGGCATCTTCGAAAGAATGCCATACTGTCCTAGTACAGATGGCTCTGGGAAGGACCACAAAGCGCACGAGCTTATTCAAGCCCTGCACAAATGAGCTCGCTCTTGAATGGTTCGTACCACCAACCCTGGATAACTCAGTCAGCAAAGCACTTGTCTCACAATCTCAAGGTGATGAGTTCGTATCCTGCCAACGACAGATGCCTTTTTAGATGGTTCCCCATGGGTGTAACGACTCTTGATGTAGATTTTTTGTTACTGCCGGCTGTTGGAACCAAACGTTACGTAAAACATTACAAAACTCAATAGAAACGCCGATGAAACATATCCTGCGTAAATATTTCGCACCGAAGTGCAGAAAGACTTGTCCTCGGCGAGTCGGGGCGTAGCCAGTTTGGTCTGGCTACGCCAAGAGGCTACAGTTATTCTTTGCGTGTGCACGCATGCGCACGTGTTTGTGCGTGGGCATGTGCACATTTTGCCGTTATACTTCGTTTCCTCTCGCAATCGATCGCAGCAGAAGCTACCAGCTACCCCAGTGAATCCAACGCTGCAACCATATCACGCGACCACCCGCTCCGCGCGTCACTGCGTCCCTTCCGAAGGTCACATGACGCTCTTGCAGCCCGGGAGTGGCTTCAATGGCTTGCTGCATCCTCCACAGAGTTGCAAACTTGGCAGTTTTCCGAGTGGTCTAGCAGGAGAAACTGTTTTCTTGCAGACAGTGGGACTTCTATCTTACGGATAATTGGCCAAAAAAAAAAACAGAAATGGTAATCTCTGGGGGGAAAGCGATCATATGGGATTTCACGGTAGGTGCTTTCTCCCCTTGAAGCTTATCACATCAACCAAAAATCTCTCTTACGACTATTCTACGCGCCGAACCAGACACCCGAAGAGATGAGCAAACTGCCCCCGGTCTTTGCGGAGGAGGAAGAGGTTGCTCACAGGGCCTGTGCGGCCTCCAGGCTCTCCCGGTAGTCGACGTTGTCGTACAGGGACGGGGTCCGGCGCAGCAGGGTGGGACTCGAGAAGCTCGACAGGTCGGCCGCCGAGGTCTGCGACGTCTCGGCCAGGGAGTTGCGCGAGCTCAGCGGGTCCAGCAGCGAGCTGGCCCCGTCCTCCGCCCCGGCCCCGCCGCAGGGGGGGGACGGGGAGGGCTGCGGGGAGGAGGCCCGGGCAGGAGAGGGCGTCCGGCTGCCCCCGTTGGTCAGCTGCAAGAGGGATGCGACGACGGGCGCGCTTCGGTCACCCTTCCGTCGACAAAACTGGGACGCCGTTCGGGCGACAGAGGGAATCACACTTCTGGCTTCCAGGCTAGGTGGCGCAAGCTACTGCCCGTCATGAAGGGTACAGCCGTAGAGCGTGGGTTCGCAAACTTTTCCATCTCGAGGAACATTTATCTTTTTTTGAGCCATCGCCGATTAACCCTTCCCGGTCGTGGCACTGAAACAATGAAGCGGAACAGAAGCTTGAAAGCCCTCTACAACAGCAACTTAGATACCAAGGAGTGATTTGCTCATAGCTATGTGTGAGTATGTGACTGAGAGCTTCTAAAATAGGAAAGGGAAACACACTTTACACGGGGGCAGGGACAGTCAAGGAAATTTTGCAGCTCAAGAGCTCGTAGGAGCTCAGTTTAAGAAGCCACGGTTACGGAGAATCGAGAAGCGGACACGGGCATTTAATCTCACGCTTCCTGGCACGCGTCGCCGAGGTGTTGCATTGTCGTCCTCGCCCACCCCTTCTTTCTCACGATCACGTGGAGGATGCGCGCACCGAGGCAGTCAAGCGTAGTGCGGGGTGATGCACTGCTCACGCACGTCAACACATGCGGGTGTTTCGCGGGTGGCTGGCAGACCACACGAAGAATGACGTGTGCAAATCTGAAAAGGACAACTCAACCCTCTCCACTTCCTTCTCCACTCTATGGGGGGGCTACCCTTACCCCTCCGCTCTTGCAATGCCTAGCCAGAAACTTGGGTGAAATCTGAGGTAGCTTTCGTCAAAATGTGATCCTGGATTAAAACTTAACGTCATCGGCACATCGACGAGCTTCGTCGATTTGCCGCGGACACCCTAGAAGGGGGCCTAGAAGACGTCCCACAGTGGGCCCGACGAATACCGCACAGACCAAAAGCTGTAGTGCTGGATGTTCTACTTCACTTACTGAGGCCCAGCGCAGGGACGGATTGCGTGCGAGTGCTGTGCGAGCGTTCGGCCAAGACTTGTCTTCAATCGGTCGTATCTCAGGGGTCTCATTTTGGTCACCGCGAGATTTAATTTGCCTCTGTCGGATCAAGCGATGATAGTGTTCTTGTTCATCTGCTACAAGGCACCCTTTCGCAGGCGGAAATCCAAAAAAAAAAATTCCGCATGTCGTCTGCTAACAGATCGCAAAAAAGGGTTGATAGTCTGCTACAAACCGAGCGGTGCGGCAAAGTGAGATCGGACGCGGGCAGAAATTGTGGCAGTCCGCCATTTCACGTTGAAAGCCACTGACAACTCGAGCTTCGTTTTTAAACTTCCAGTGGTTCTGATGCCGTACAGATGCCGATACTGACCGGTGGATGAAGGAGTACAAAAAACGAGCATGGCAGAGGCCGCAAGATCTCTCTGGCTATTGTACGCTGGTGAGACGTTCTCGCCAAATATTGCTCGATTCTGAACTTGTTAAGGGGGGACACGACCCAGAAAAAACAATTTCTGCAAAAAAAAGTTGATTTTGAAAAATGTCATATTTACATCCACCAACATCTAGAGAGTATTGCCAGAAAGTTTCATTAGTTTACACTGCATAGTTAATTTTTTATAAATTATTTTCGGTCCACTGATGCTAAAGAAAAGGTAGAGGTTGGAGCACTTTGAACGCATTTTTCTCCGTTCCACTTTTTGGCATAAATTTCACTTTAGGAAAACTATTGTTTTGTTATTACGCAACTTGGATTCATTTTTATAAATTTTTCTGGGGTGAAATTTTAAGGGGAAGATAACTATGAGCTTGTATTTTTTATTTTTGTCATTTTTCATGCTCAAGAACTAAAAGTTTGGACAAAGGATGGAAATCGAGAAAACTGTATTTGTGTTTATGTGGCTATTTTGTCATGAAAGATGGTATAACATAGAAATATAGCTCCATAGTTATCTGCTTTGAACTGTCCTAATGCAATATAACACATGAAAACAACAAATTCATAGTAATTTCAAAACAATAGTTTTCCTAAGCAGACACGCCCACTTTCGTCTTTGAACGTTTGCAATTTTTTTTGTACTTCACCCAGGTTAACAAAAATTGGCAGAAATGTTTTCAACATCAACAGAAACAAGCAGTGTAAATATAATTTAAATCCAACAAGTGGTTCAAAAATTTACTCTTTTGGGTAGTGTCCCCCCTTAAAAGGTCAAAAATGACTCATTGGTTAATTACGCGCAAGCTGCGGTGCCACGTCCAACCGGCAGACCAGCAGCCGAGTACGCTTTCGCCTAGACCAAAGTCGGACCCCAGTTGAATGCTGACACAGTACTCGTGTCTGATCTGCACCAGCCGTAAGCATTTTACGTATAAAATTCAGCACTAGTACGGCTTTTTATTTGCAAGGTGCCCCAAGAATCCTTTAGAGCAGGGGTTCTCAAACTGGGTAACGGGGGACACAGGGGTTCCACGAGCTGGTCTCATGGGTTCCGCGAACACCCATGCAAAGCGCCTTCATCTCACTTTGTACTGACATCGCGATTGATATGGTGGGGACATATGGGAAGCAACACAAGCAAAATTGCCTACGATTGTGCATCGGTTGCTTCTCGGTCGGCAAATATAGAGGGGGGGGGGTCCGTGGCAGTTTTTGAGGCTACCTGGGGTTCCGTGAGACCAAAAAGTTTGAGAACCCCTGCTTTAGAGTTCCTTTCAGAGCAAAAATAAACTATGCATTGTCAAACTTCTTTGCCCAAATGAAGCGCTAGTGGTCTGCACAAGTTGTCCAATTTAAAAATGAAAGATGATCTACGGAAAATTTCTACGGGAACATGTGTGCCCAGCATGGGGAGGGGGTGTCCCACCTTGGGGCTGGGTGCGAGCAGGGTGGGAGGCAGCTCGAGGCCAAAGGGCCTCTGGGGCAGCTCGTCTGGCGGGGGCCTCCCGGGGGGCACCTGCAGGCCCTGCCTCCTCAGCTCCTCCATGGCCCCCTGCAGGGCCTCCATGGCCGCGTCGTCGTGGAAGCCAAAGTCCTGCTCCAGACGCGCCTGCAGGAACTCTATCATTTCCTCCATGCCCTGCCGCAGCAGCGTCTCTGCAAGGACACGCCGCAAGAACGCCTCCTTGAGGGCGGGGGACCCACAAGGAGTCGCACGAGGATGCAAGCACGCAGGGGGCGATGCGCAAGCACGGAATGCCCCCGAAACGTCGCCAATCTTTGCGGCGGGAAAAAAAGAATGAAGAAATTTTAATTTGCACGGATTTGTGAGGGAACTTACATCTGAACTTGGGTGCACGTCGTAGGACGCTCCTGAGTCAATAAGCCAAGACATATAGTCGTAGAAGCTTATTGAACGGAAGGTGTGAAAGGTTCCGGGCACCTTGTTTTCACTCCACAGCCAATGAGATTGTGGCATCAACCCGAAAGAATTCCGAGGAACAAATTGTCCAGAAAGAAGCGTAGAAGTCACGTCCCGCATTTCTTAAGCCGTCGGTAACTACAGGGTATCTCAAATAGTGGCCAGGCTCTGTTAACTGCAAAATCTATTTCTTAACCCATCGCGCTAAGATTTTGTGCAGCGTTGCTTTTCTAAAAATGTTACAGAACACATCTCCACATAACATTAACATCATTTCTAAAAAAACTATGGGAATTGGTTTACAAAACACATTCCGAGTTGAAAGAAAAATTTTAAGCCGGACAAAATCTCTCGTAGACGTTAGCTAGAAAGGCCACTTCCTTGTCACTCCAAAATAGACCTCTGTTCTATGTGTTCTCTTCCCCTGTGCTTGTGCGCCGTTTTAATATGCCGTTTACATACCAACCGGCTCAACTCTCCACACTATCACTGTTGATAATCTGTTGGCTGCGGAAGCTTCGTGAACTGTCTGGCATGCTTCGCTGCTGTGCCACGGTCAGGATCGCAGCGGACAACAGCGCCACACAAGTACAACATCATCGAGCAGAAATCGAGAGACCGCAAATGAGGATGCGGCAAACGTGCTGGTCAAAGATGCGTTCCAGACGCCGTAACGCGAGGAAGTGGCAGCGCCAGCGACTCACTGCGGTGAAGCCTGAGCAGGGTGTAGGACATGGCGGTGAGCACGGGCTCCCCGTCGAGCACGTAGGCGTCCCAGAGGCGCAGGGTGAGGGTGAAGGGTACCCGGTCCAGGAAGCACTGGAAGAACCACTTGAGGGTGTACAGCGAGGTGTGCATCTCGTACCGGTCCAGGTGCCGCTTCAGCTTGGGCAGCAGCCGCCCCAGCACCCGGTCATGGTGCTCCTGGAACCGGCGCAGCTTTGGGAACCCCTGGATGAAGAACCCTGCACAGGGGGGGGGCACATCTCGTTGCACCGATCGGGTCATACCCTGCGCCACCTGGCGTAGAAACATTCATGCCCCCCCCACACGTAAAGTTTGCTCCTGCCCTCCTGCCCGTAGCTGCCCTAGCATAACTGGATGTTTCAGGATTTCAACCCCTGGATGAAGAACACTGCGAAGAGTGAACATCTCATCAGTGACGTCACCAGGGGAAGGGGGGGGGGGGGGGGGGAACTGCCCTGGGTGCGGGTGTCGTGGCAAGCCACCACCTTGGGTGCCACTTACCGTAGTGACGCCAATGCGTCTCCTCCCATGGATGGATGATAGCAAATCGGGGTGTGCGCTGTACCACCTGGCGCAAAAACATTCACACCCCCTCCACGTTTAAATATTGAGCCAAGTTCCCTGCCATAGCTACCCTAGTGTGACCATATGTTTTGGGAGTTTCTTCAACCTCTTAATGAAGAACCCTGCACAGAGAACACATCTCCCAAGTTGAGTGATGGCATTGAATTGGGCGGTAGCTTGCACCACCTGGCATAGAAACAGTCACGTCCCCTCCAGATTTAAATATTGTCTCTAGATTTGAGGCCGCAGCTGCCCTAGCACGACCGGACATTTTGGAAGTTTTTCAACTAATGGATGAAGGACCCTGAAGGTACCGCAGGGCACCAGGCACATTGCACTGATGGATGCATGGAGGGTTATACACCTTTTCAGCACTCGTCACCATGGCAAAGAAAGCCGACTCATAGGGCTGTGAAAGCGTGCACATTGTCCGATATTCCTCAGAAGAGAGCTATACAGTAAAACCTCGTTATAACAAAGTTGAAGGAGCGGTCGTAGTTATTTCGTTATAACCATTAGTTTGTTATAGCCAATGTCCATTTCTCCATACTATTAGCAAGCAAGGGGAATTATGATTGCTTTGTTATATCCATTAGTTTGTTATATCCCATTTTGTTATAACGAGGTTTTACTGTACGTTGCACAGCCCAGTAAACAAAGAGGGCAGCACAGAAACGGCAATTATTAAAATGGGTTCTCAGTTTGGATTCCTAAGAAACCGGGTGTTCCCCAGAGTACCGTAAGGGGTTCCCCAGAGTACCATCAGGGGTTCCTTAAAGTACCAAATATCCTCAGTCATCCCTGCCTCCAAGTCAAGTGGTCTTCCTGTTCAAGCAACATCTTAGCCGGTCTGAACTGATGCAGGAGTCGGGCAGCAGACAGTGCCGTTTGCAATCATTAGTGGTCCGACTACTCTTTGTGCATGCTTAAAGTTTACATTTTACCCACTCCTCCCCGACACCCAAACGGCTCAGAGAATAACTAAATAAGCAAACTGCACATTTCAAGCAGAGATCGACCATAATCCCAATGTTTCCAAAAATTGAGCGGAACAGCATGGAACTTACTGTATTTACACGATTGTAAGTTTACTTGATTGTAAGTCACCCCCCCCCCCTGCACGTGAAAACAAAACAAAAAAATCTTCTAGATGCGCATTTTACTGTGAACTTGTGAGAACAGCAAAGTATCTGTTTCGAAAGCGCAGCCTCCAACACGCAATCGAGGCCTTCTGGCGTGCTTTGGCATGCGCAAGGTTCATGAGATGCCCAGGCGTTATCGAAACTAGGAAGTTCACGCTGGAGGCGGGACAACTGAAGCAGCTTTGTGTCGTTCTCCCTCCATACAAGACTAGACTATGAGTCGTCCGCACTGGTGATGTCAGCCCCGTCACCTTCGCTGCTACGTTCTCGAAGCATGTCGTCGATGTTGTCGAACGAAATCTTGCACTTCGTAAATGACAGGATCAACCGCATCTTCCGTGCTTGCTCGGCGATCGCATTGCACGTCGCGGGTAGGGGCCGATTTCGCACTTTTGTGGCAGACGTTGCAAGCCTGACCTCCAACTCCAGAAGGCATTCCCACCTATCCAGACTTTGTCCTGCGGAAGCCTCTTCGTTTGCCGTCACTGTTAAAGATCCCGCGCCATTGCAGACTCCACTGGAGCATCGCCCGCTCTGATGGGTCAAACTTGCGTCCAACAGCACAGTTGTTTGTTGCTTCTGGGTGAAGAATGTCAATGAACGAGCACCGAACCTAAACTGCACAGATCACGCGTGTCAATACAAAAAAACATAGTTAGCGCTGCAGCAAAATTTAGACACTCAATCAAACGACAAGTCACCGTGACTTGTGCGAAAAACTGAAGAGAAGCCGCGGGGAACGCGAGCCGCGAGGCTGTTCCAGCGGCCTCCAGAGTGGTTCTTACAAGAAGTGCCCGCCACCCCCCATAGTCGGGTGCGCCGTGTGCTGTTCACCGCCGTACATCGGGGTTAATTTGCGAATCGCTATCAATAATACTCGTTCACGCAAATAAAACAAAAAGAATTCGTAAAATGAACGCTTAAAATAGCACAATGCTAGAGGTACAGCCGGCTGAACTCGTAACAAGCCGAGGTGTTTATGAGATCGCAATTGTTTCGTTTTTGCCAGTGATGGAATGCTTTGGTTTGATTATAAGTCAACCACACCCTTCAGATTTTTAAACATTGAAAAAAGGGTCGACCTACATTCGTGTAAATACGGTACATGGTAAAACAGTCACACTCTTTTACGAACGGAGAAAACTGAGAGCGAGCAAAGACCGGGCTCACCGTGCATGGCGTGCCTCTCGTCCGTCATGAGCACCGAGATGGCCCAGAAGGCATCCTGCGCAGACAACCGTCGCCCACTCACTCGCCTTCCAAGGAGAGCTGCCTCGCAAGCGGCAAGGCTAGCGGCCCGCGTCCCCACGGTCAAGTCGCCCACTTGGCGTTTTCCGTACCTCGCACACTCCAAGACAGCTCCCCCCCCCTCTATCGGTGCTACGCCTTAGTGGGCCACTCACACACGCTACCGCTTATGGCAGGAACTATTGCGCCCCTCGGCGCACGCCTCCGGCAAGCGACTGGCGACCGTTTCGCATTGCGAGTGAAGCATGTTAGTGTTCATCAAGTCAAGGCATAGCTACGTTGCAACGGTGCTCATAAATTTACGTTGACCAAGATATAAAAGAGGCAATGGGAAGGTGACACCATTGGCAAAGAGCCTCGAGTCGATAGAAAATAAAAGCCTACCGCAATATCTTAAGAGATACCCCACCCCCCCAAAGGATAACCCGCCCCCCAACTTTGGTCCCATTTGCTTCTTTTCCTTTTTTCAAAAACACTGAAAGATAGCTAACTTCTAGTAATTGCGGGGCCTTGTCCAATGGTGACCTCGAAAGATAGCTTACCCCCCATTTTCACCCGATTTGCATCCGATTTTAGGAGGGACATCTTTTGGGACATTACGGTAGTATCGCGACACACATATTCTTTATTTGGGCCAATTAGAATGAAGTCTTGCCTTTGTGCAGTTTTTCTTTTTTGTATTTGGAATTAAGTGATGCACACACTTTGGGTGACCAGGCGAAATGGCATCCGGTGACATCCCTCCACCAGTACGCGACACCGAAAATGCACACGGTCACAGGTGTCGTCACTTGACTCAAGGATGTCGCGAGATAAAGTTCATAAAGTGTGTGCAGGCCTGGCATGGGAATGCGGAGGTGTTAACAATGCCGATGAAACAAGCATTCCGTTACATGCCAAGAAAAGCATACGTGGCTTGGGTCTCGTTGTCTAAGCACACTTTAATTCAAAATATTTAAGGTGGCAGTGTGCCTGAAACTTTCTGTATCCAGCCCTCAAATACTGAAGACTGCAAGGAATAAACGAATGAATTCGTGCCCTTGTGACCGCATCCCTCCCTAAAGGATAAAAAGAAAACAGAAATGGGGTCGAACTCACCTCTTCATTCATGTACATGAGCAGGAGGGCAGCAATTTGGCTCATACCTTGGCAGTAGCCCACCTCCTGCGAGGCCCAAAGTCACTATGAAGGCAACCAAACTAGCTCCGCGGCACGCAAGCAATGATTCAGAGTTCAACATTTCTAATACGTCCATACCCCCCCTTTTAACCCCTTGACGGCAGAGTTTTTTTCGCAAAAGGTATTTCTCAGTGATCAGCTTTTGTTTCCAAAAGAATGGTATAAAGAAATGGTCAATGGGCAAGTGTCTTCTATATTGTCTAGTGGAAGCACAAACACTGTGCTTGCAAGCTCTTTGGGTTTAGAAGCATGAAATGAAGATATTTTAGGTGAAAACTTATCACCTTTCTTCCATTTCGTTTCATTTTGGTGCGTCTGCTTCCGCGACATTCCGGTGGCTTCAGATTCGGAACTGGAGGTACTTTACAGAGCTTCTCCGCCAGGTGATGAGCACTTATCCCCCGAATGTAACTCCGAAAAGCACTGGAAGTCTGAATCGAAGGAGCCAGTGCTCCCACTACTGCCAGAGCGGCCAGTATGTGAAGTGAGCATTATGTGCGTGAAGTGCCTAATTTGAAAACTATAAATAGCCCAGCAAAACGCATTACTGTGCCAATGTAATGTTTATATTTCACCAAATATATAACAAAGAGTCATGGGCGTACCAACTGGGGGGGGGGGGGGGGGGGGGGGGAAGGCGGGTACTTGTCTTTCAGTTCTTAGAGTGGGGGAGCAAGGCATGTGTTTTGCCCCCCCTGAATCAGCTGCCACTGGGCAGGGCAAACACTGGCCGGCAGCGCACAAATGATACCAAAGGCACAGCCCCCCCGACCTGGGGGTAGGGGGCTCTGGTTTGCCCTGCCCCCCCCCAACTCAAAAACAAGTTGATATGCCACTGCAAAGTGCAACACCTCCAGCTGTGCATGCAGTTTTGTATTTAAGCAGTCACTTTCAAACATGTACTCACCAGCGTACATGCAAGGCGACGACCACCAAAAGGATAGGGAATTTGGGTAAAAACACAAATTTCCTCAAAATGTACAGCAAGTGCCTCCGGAATCATGTAACAAAATTCAGGAGAACATGTGCTCCCAGAAACATTGTGTTCAGTATGGCCAATGCATTCAATGGTAACATCATCTCACTCAAATAATTTAGTTTCAAGAATGCAGCTGCACGAAAACAAGCACGTGTAAATCCCTCGCTGCACAAAAGTCCTGTGCTTGCCGAAGGACGGAGGAACAGCGATCGTTCCTGTCCAATTGGGTGGTAACTTGCGTCATCTAGTGCCGCCTCGGGCACCCGCTACTCGGCCCATGGCCACGACGAAGAGTCTGTCGACGCACGCTGCACCGATGCACTTGTTGCATTCTACTCTTCAAGGCGAAGCCTAAGCGACCTTGGCTCTTGAAACAACATTATTAAACTGGAGGTGACCAACGGCTTAATCTTCTCACTGGTTTATGTTCCTTCGAGGATGAAAATGGCACGCCCTCAGTGAAGCAACCAAAACTGAGTAGTTGTAGATGGACAAGGTGTCAATTTTAATGCTGCAAGACACAGAAAAAAAAAAGGTGGCTGTTGTAATTATACGCGATTAGCATGTGACTTCTAACAAGGATGTCGAACCAAACCTAACCCGAAATCCTGAGCAAAACCGTTAATTTTAACCGAATCGAAACAAAACTGTAATTTATGGCGCACCGTGCATTCACGAGGGTGCCTATCAAACCACTCTGGCATAGTTGCCGCGAGGCAGCTAAGTAGCTGCCTCGCCTCAGACACGATCACATGGTCGTGTCACCGCGGGGTCGATCGGGATCTCGAATTCGGCTCCCGATGCGCCGCTTTCTCTCCTAGCCACTGGAGGGCGCTACAGGCGCCCCCGTGGCGGGCGAGGAGAAACCTCCTCGCCCATCGATCGGGAGAGATACTCGGTGCCGGTGGGGCAGGGGGCAAGAGGCCTCTAAGAACTCCGGACGAGACCGAGACGCAGGCAGGCAGGTGGGTGGCGACCGGATCTAGGGTAATCGCGGGACACGAGGCCTGGGGGCCTTCTTTGTGTTCAGCTTTTGGCTTAACGTGCGTTTGTAAATATCTGTGTAATGTAACTATTTGTAGTTTAGATTGAGTGTTTTGTAGCGTTGTGTTTTATTGTGAGAATAAACTGAGAGCGGAATCCCGCTCCCGTGAAAGAGCCAGGCTGGACTCGGGTTGTTGACGGACCACGTGGGAAACGGCGAATCGGCGGCGTTGCGCGATTTCCTACAAACCGAAATCAAATGCTTGATCCCAAACCGGAACGGAACCGTAATCTCGTGCGACGGTCATCAGTTCATTGGAAACGGGTCGGAGTGATAAAATGCGAGCCTCGCCTGAGGCACCTGAGCGAGGCTCTGAGGCATCTCAGCTATGAAACCACACAGAAAGCCAAGCAAGATGGCAGTGAAATGAAGCAGCCACACGTCAGTCTCAATTAGCGCCATTCCATGGTGCTGCATGTCCGGGAGGCAGCGGCTCCACCGCTCCACGCCCAAGGTCAGCGCAGCGAGCAGAGCTTATGCGCTGGATTGCCGACGCAAGTATGCCACAGACGAAGTAAGAGAGCGGAGGAACGGTGCGCTTGCTTTTACATTCACTACTGGGGGGATTGGTGGCCGAGTGGTCTAGCGCACACCAGCTCGGAGCACGTGGAGCGAAAGCTCGTGCTGCAGAACCCAGGGATCCTGGGTTCGAGCCCCACCCCTGCCCGTTTCGATCTGGATGAGCATCGTACCGGCGTGCGGTCGTGTATCACTACTACGTGATGCACGTTAAAGACCCCAGGCTAGCGGCTGTACCGCACTGGCTAAATGTCTCATCTACAGCTGGGAGACTCGTCGCCCCTGTGAGGCAGACCAAGTTCTAGGCTGTATAAACACACACACAACCCAATTTTTTTACATTCACTATTCATAAGAAATGCTGAGGTGTACCACAAGTCTGTTTTTACTTTTCTCATATGTTAAACGAATGAGGTAGATTGAACTTTTGACTATTTCGAAAGTTCCGGGCACCGCTGTTCAAATTGCTTTTTCTGGCTCTCAATATGGCCGTTTCTGCATAAATTGAAGATTGTCATTTAATTAAAATGCAACCAAACGAGACTTGAACACATGCAATTCAATTATCAGTTCTGAGAACAAACGAAAAAAGTATTGCAGCTAACACCCAAATTCAAGTTGACTAAAAAAATAAATAAATCTTTTTTTTTTTTTTTAGCTCCTATTTTGATCCAAAATGCTTTTGAATATTTTGCAACCGTTTTTTCACAATATTTTTCTAAACTACACGAGTTTTATGCAAATTCCAAAAATTTAGAGCATAATACAGTAAACTCTCACTATAGTGAATGTCGTTTTAACAAATATTTCAGAATAACGAACTTCCAAAAAATCCCTGGTGGTTTTCCCATGCATTCTATGCAAAAATGTTTCAGTAAAACGAATGAATGAATTTCAGAGTAGTGAATATTTTTGTTCAACAAACTTGATTGGTGGACCCAGGATTATTTTTGCAACGAGTTCAACAACGTTTTGCGCTCTGCAGCGCTGGCGCAGCCGATGCCTGCCACATCACCGCCGCCGCCTCTGCAGGGGCAGCGTATCGTCGCTGGCGTTTACAGCGCTGCCCAGGAAAAGCGGCGGTGCAGTAGATGGAAATGAGCCACGTGGTGTGTCTGTTTTTTCTTCACCATCGATTCTGTTTAGCCATCTTAGTTTTGGGTAACAACGACAGGTTTGTGCGCCCACTTTCGTAATGAGTACGAAGAAATGGAAGTGGTTGTCTCTATGAGACAAGCTCAAAATCCTTCAGCGTCTGGACAATGGTCAAAGGCATGTGGACGTTGCGGAGGACTATGGGATTGCACCGTCAACGATGTCAACGATAGTGAAGCAAAAGTTGAAGCTTGAAGGACTAGCTGCCTTCAATCCCAACAGGAAACGACTCTGCACAGGATATTTCGAGCCAGTGGGACGATGCCATTGCAGCATGGCTTCGTCACAGCAAAAAGCTGCGCCAGAGGAAGTGCAAAAAAAACGTAGACTCTATGGACAGCTTTGTTACTTCATGACCTTTAAAAGAGCTGGTGCCAATTAAAATTAATTTTTTTTTTTCAAAATGAGAAAGGCAGCAAAGTAACTGTTATGCACTTTGTATATATCGGTGTACACCACTCCATAAATTACATTTAACACTTTTGACTCTGTGTGCCCTATGATGTTCCATATTCGAGTGAATACCGTATTCGCATGAATATAACGAAAGGTTTTTTTTTAAAATTATGCGCTCCAAAACGCACCTTGCGTTATATCCGGAATAGAGTTTAGCCACGAGGCACGCGAGTCTGGAAAAAGTCATCTTTCCGGCTCGATGCAGAAGATCGAGTGGGAAAAGAAGTGGGGTGCGGGAGGGAATTTATTAGCTATTGGTCCACGTGAACAGGGAGAATAAAAAACATAAGCATTTTTATCGCTTCTGTGTTTGTACAACGCACGGGGCAGAAATATAGGGAAACTGTGGGAATACGAGCACTGGCCAATTCGAGCCAAGTCAAGCCAGGCCAAGTCAAGTCAAAACAAGCCAAGCCAAGACAACTGACCATGTTTACGCAATCGTGCAACACAAGGTGTTTATGCGGAAGGACAAGAACAAGAATGCGTGTGATCATGCGCGATCGTTTATCGGGTCCAACAGTCTTTTTTCTGCCTGCGCACTTTTTGGTTTCTACTCCAGAGTGGCCTGGTGCTTGTGTGTTGGTGCTTTTGCTTTGTGCCTTGCTTTGCTTGCGGGCTGAAGAGGAGCTCACCCCACCCCGAAGAAAAAGAAACTACCGAACAAGGGGCGCCATGTGCTGCTGCATATCTGGGTAGTTGCCAAGTGGATTGCAAATGGAAGGACCTGAGCAGTGAGGTCAAGCGCAGTGAAAACATAAACCGATATTTCGTAGATTTCCATTGCCCTTTCACTTCTGCTGTGCCCATGAGTGCGGTAAATTTATGCAACCTCGGCTCGCGTTATAAAAGTAATAAAAATTTTTTTCTTTTAGAGGTTATCAAAACTTGCCCTCGCATTATATTTGTGGTCGCGTTATATTCGTGCAAATACGGTATATTCAGTTTAGTAAACCTTCAGTTAAGCAAACGATTTCCTTGGGTCCCTTGAAGTTTGTTCAATTGAGAGTTTACTGTATGAGCAAAAATAAAATTATTTTTTTTTTTTTACAAAATTGTATTTTTTTTAGGGTTCAGAGGCTTTATCCAAATTAATTTTTTAGTAAACATCCCAGACGTGAAAAAATTGTTGAGTTTCCTTAGACATGGAAGGACCTTGCAGTGACACGGAGTGCCACGAAGCGCTTCAAGCAACCATCCTTTGGCTTAGTAGAACGAGCGCTTTGAGGCTTTTGCCTAATTTTGCAGCCGTCTTACTAGTAGCACAATGTGGCCGTCAATGGCCATTTTTTTTTTTTCGAGCTTAGGAATTACAAAGAATGGAATGGTGGAAGTTCAGCCATCCCAAAGGTGGGAATGGGTCCAGCGTCTCCATCCCGAGGAGTTTGAAAACGGTGAAATTTTCGGAAATGACGATTCCCTGGAACGGAATTGAACAGGAACGGGGCTGCCCATTCCACGAAACACCGCTGTCGGTGCCAGGAGCTCGTGCCAGGAGACGCGCATCCACGCACTCCAGAACAAATAAAGGAACAAAAACGTTCGTAACAAAATGGTCACGTGTCTATTTAGCTCCAAAGCCTTTTGTTCACGCACCCCATGATGTGTGAATGCAACGCCGATGCCCAACGACTCCGCCGTGACGTGCCGTGGCAGTCGCTCTGATTGTAGTGTGGATTAACGCACGAGTGCTCCTTTTTCTTTTCTCATGTCTTTGGGAAATTATAAACGTTATGCCATATTTGCACCACATTTCACTTAGCTAGGGCTATTTATAGTTTCGGAATTAGAGATGCTCCGTGCACGCGACACGCATGAGTTGATGCGCCCTAGGTGGTCACTTCGCACGACGATTCCTCTGGCATAAGTGGCCAATGGGAGGACCAGCTCTTCCGATTCAGACTTTTCACACTGCTTAGACTTGAATTCCGTGGGTGACAGATCATTAGTCAGTAGAGAAACTCGGTAAAGTACCTTTGGAATCTGGAACATTTATGAATAGCGAGAAAAAAAAAGGGACTAAACAATGCTAAAAGACAGTGTCAAGAGAGGAATAGCCGGTAGCATGAAAGCAGCAACCGATGTCTAAATTTTATTTTTTTTTCTCAGTTATTAAAGATGTGCCATTATATTTCATGTTTTATTAATAACTTTTCGTGCTTCTCTAGAGTTGGAGATCGGGCCATAAAGCCGACCTGAAATCCGTCCAGTCAGCATTCGAGAGACAAACGTCCTATTTGAAGACGTCAGAAGCCTTCGCTCCTTTCCTGGCAAAAGCAAACTCACCGTGTTGTAAACTGAGTATGCTGCTAGGACGTGGAACAGGGCTTGTTGTCTGGAAAAAAGAAAATTGGGATCCACTTTAGTTTTCAGCAATGACAGCCAGACATATCAGAAAAGTTTGTGTTCTTTTCGGCTAGTTCATCCGACCACACGACTCCGAGAGAGCAGCAGCAGTGGCAGCGATGCTGCAAACACAGGCTAAAGGAACCCTGACCAACGCAGCCAAACACCAGTAAAAGGATGCTTTTGCTACATAAAGACCCATTTAATGAAGTAAAAAATGAAAGACGTTTACAAATCTCTGTAATGCAAAATTAGAGCACAACTCTTGAGGAGGAGGGGAGGGTACGCCCCACCGTACCCTCCCCTCTCCTCCTTTTTTAACCCACTAGCGAGCAAAATTTTTAACATTAAATTTAGCGGGCAAATATTCTCATTAAATTTAGCGGGAAAATTTTCCCGGTAAAATATGCAAGGAAATTTTTCCGCTAAATTTCCCGGGAAAATTTACCCGCTAGCGGAAAAATTTTCTGGATAAATTTAGTGGGTTAAGTTTTCTGCTAAATTTAGCGGAGAAATTGACGTCAGATGACCTCAACACAAATTCAGTTTCCCCGCTAAATTTAACGGGGAAAATGACGTCGCATGACTTTCGTCACGTCACCCATGAACAAATTCAGTTTCTCCGCTAGATTTAGCGCAAAAATTGACGTCACAGGACCTCAACACAAATTCAGCTTCCCCGCTAAATCTAGCAGGAAAATTGACGTCACGGACCTCAACGCAAATTCAGTTTCCCCGCTAAATTTAGCGGGGCGGTTCCGCCGACGCCGACACCGTGAAACACAGAAACGGGCACCTAAGAGCTGTGCTCTACAAAGAAAGGTCCTGGCCTACTTCCGAAGCATTCGATATGTCATTATGACAGCTACAACTACAGTGTTTTCCACATTATAGCCAGCAGACTATCATATCCTACAGTGTATGGACTATAGTCAGGGTGTCTACCAAATTATTCTTTTGAAATTCCCTGACTTTTCCAAGTTTTCCCTGACAATTTCAGGTGAAATTCCCTGACCACTCTAGAGGCGGTTAAATATACAAGACCATTACAACACAAGGCATTGAGCACTGAGCACAATGAGGATTATTTTGCACGGGCCTAATCTAACTTGCATATTCCGAAAAATTTGGGTTCGTCCAGTCTGGATTAAACGAGCACTTTCTTGCCGCTGACATCGTCAGTGAAGAGGCCACTTTCAAAAACACGATGAGAACATGACGCTCAACCAAACACGTCAATAACCGAATGGCAACATGGCCGCCAGATGCACTTTCGGATACTTTCGGTTTAAGGCTTGGATTGGAGTCTGCGGCTTTCCCATTTGTTACTAAATCTAGTAGCTCTAACTGGATCTAGTTTAGTGTCGTGCTCTCAACCCAATCCAATCCAATCCATGGCTTCGACTGGATTTGTCGATTCTCTTTGCATCGGGTAGCAAACTCTACACGGGGAGAGCTGAGCCTGCGCCTCACTCTAAGCAGTATTTATTGCCTATATTTCTGTACCCAAGTCCTCAAGCCTTTGCTCAGGGCATTCGATGGTGTTTCCGGCTTATTTTCCCTTACTGAGCTCCCTTTCTGACAATTTCCCTGACAATTCCCCGATTTTTCCCGGTAATCAAAATTTTCCCTGACAATTCCCGGTTTTCCCAGTCGCTAGACACCCTGACAGTCCACACGGCGTAGAGAAAGTATAGCCTCCGGTCTATAAACTGGAATACGTAGAAACGATACAAACTACAAGAACAATAAGAATTAGGAAAAGCAGAGGAATTTAGATTAATCCTGTTTTATTAATCAACATAGAGTGCAGAACGTAAGGGTGCAAGTGAGCTGGCGTATATCCAGCATTTTAGTGAAAAACGCGAGACTGAGGTAATGACAGACGACGACGAGGAAGAGAACGTCTCAAACGAGACACTCTCCTTCTCCTCATTGTTGTCGTCTGCCAATACCTCAGTCGCGGGTTTTTCACTAAAATGTTTAGCATAAAGTGCTCTTGATTTCCAGGCACCATACCGATACTGCAGTCGCCAGGCCAAAAAATCCGCAATTTGTGTGAAGTTTGGCAGAGTAGAACCTCAGTGATTACGGGGAGTTTCCGGCTAGGCTTTCGGAAGCCCCTAAAAATAAGGTGGTCCAGGAAAGAAGAAACTCTTTACAGGAACCAACTGCCAGCCACGGCGGACGTCAAATATTGAAAAAAAAAAAAATTTGTTACATGGTTAACTAAACTATACTCTTTTTTTTTATTTAGTGCAAATAAACGTATGAACCCAATGAGAAACTCTCTAAGCATCATCAAAAGCCACCAAAACAACTCATTCTAGAATGATACAAGACAGGGCGGCATTCTACGGCGTTCCGATAGAATGCTCAATTTGGCCGTGCTTTTAAATTTCGGCTTTCTGTCGGAGTGCACTTTTGCTCCAGCGGCACTGCTCTCCGGTGGCCACGATGCACTCGCCACCCTTCCCTCCGTCCTACGAGAAATGCGGGGCGGCAGCTTCGTTTGCACCTTGGATACAGGCAAGTGGGACTGCTGGCGCAAAGATTCGCTCAAATAGGAAACGGAAACCTAGAAACGCGTCCAAATCTAGCATTTTATCGCAACGCCGTAAACACTGCCCCGTCTTATATCGTTGTAAAACAAGTTGATTTAGTGGTTTCTGACGATGCTTAGCAAGCTTCCCTTCAAAACATGTTCATTTTCACTAATTAAAAAAAATTAAAAAAATATCAGGTAGGTTGTAGTAGGTCGTATCAGGGACACAGCCAACGTCTTGCGCCTGCTGCAAACGGTGTGTGGCCACTAGGGTACAGGAATGACTTTAACCAAATCGCCCCGACACTCCCCTGCGCTGCTCCAGCCCGTCGCACTTGCCTCTATCTCGTGCGCTTGTACACGAGATTGAGGCAAGGACAGGAGCAAGGATTCGCATCCCTCTGTCTTGCTACCCGAGTCTTTTCCCACCATTTCTGGACCCTATGTGTCGCAGACGAGGGCGCCATAGCCGAGCAACCGCCAAATTTCTGCAACAAATTTAACAGTTTAAACGTTATAACTCCCGATGAGCGCCGGTTTGAGTTTGATGTATTATATATACCTTTTATGGCAGAGTGCACCCTCTTAAACTAGACAACTGCCGCTCGGACCGAGAAAAGTACCGCCGACCTATGGATGTGTGAGCGCCGCATGCGAGCCGAAATTTAGCTTCCACTGCGTCGTGCATGGCGCGACACGTGCATGATCGAGTAATGGCCTCTTTCTTCTGTGCAAGGATGCTAAAGTAAGGCGTGCGAGTAGTACAGTAGCGAAGAATAAGCAATAGTAGTGCTACATGTTTTCGTTACATGCAGTTTTAGCGAGTGACCCCCTACTGACCAAAATGAAACAAGTTTCACAGCAAACATTTTAAACTTGAGTTAATTACAGTAGAACCTTGCTGATACGTTTTCCAGGGGACCGCAGTAAAAAAAACGTATCATCCAGGAAAATGTTAACGCTGTTGGTGGGGCTACAGATGTGACGGGAAGCAACCCTCACACTGGGGTTTACTCCAGAATGACTTTTGGAGGTTCACAGAACTACCTTGTTAGTTACCATATAGCTGGGCATTCTTCTTTGGCACAGTTGTTTAGAACTAGCAGTCAACCTATACTGTACCTACTCGATCAAAGCGCGACCACGATTGCTACCTCAAGGGGCAACTTTCCATATTGCTCATTGGGAGAATAGAATCACGAATGTTGTGCAAGGCTAGTAGAGAAATAAAACGGTACCTTTATTTTGCTAGAAATCGTCTCCAGCACGATTTCTGACAACTGCACTCATTCACGTCGAGCAGCGACCAAGGTTTTCTCAGCTTTTGCTCCACTCCCGAAGTCGAGACAGGCGCCACACTGAGCCCGCCGCGTTGCCATCAGTTCCATCAAAACGTCCGACAGGAACGGAATCCGTTAAGATCCAAGAACTAAAACGCGCGCTAGAGACCAGCGCATTAAAACTTTAAAATCTTTGAGCTGGATGAGCTATCCAAAACGGACTCCGATCATGCCATCACTAACTTGCTAGCAGCGGATATGGATTTGTATTCGACTAGATAATTTGAAGAATCCAGCAGAGAGGCCGGGAGGCATACGTTGCCAACAGAAGACCGAAAATTCACCGCGCGCAGCCAAGGAGCGCGGGTTCGGGAGCGCCGAGGGGCAGATTTTGGACGTAACAGATAAATCAAACGTAACAGACGGGAAACTAGTACATGTATCCCTATGGGAGTTAAATGGGACCGGTGCTCGTGAACGTAACAGCCAGGAAAACGTATCAATTGGGAATGTATCAACATGGTTCTAGCTAATTTGTATGCTTTTTGAACGTTCATCGTGGCTGGCAGTTTGTTCTCGGAAAGAGTTTCTTCATCTCTCAACCACCCTATTTTTAGGGATTTTCGAAAGCCTTTGCCGAAATACCCGGTGTATTCCAGGGGACAGCAAACGAAAACAACAAAAAAATTGCCTCCAAGGAATGTAACTGGTGCGGAAAAACTGCCGAGACGGACGACGGATGAACTCACTTGACGCTGTAGCGCTCTCGGAACATGATGTGGTTGCGGTACGTCCGGTTCACGTCCAGGTCGATCTGCCGGATGTCTGGGGACCATTTACGGGCACGCTCCCTCATCTCCTGCAAGCACGGAAGGCGCAAGACGTCGAGCGAGGTTTCCCCGAGCACAACCTCCCTGCACCGGGTCGTCTTGGCAGATTTGTAAGGTAGAAATGAACCTGGTCGGCCCGCACGAGGCACTTCCAGAAACAGCGCCTAGGAATACAAGTCATCGTAAAACGAGCCAATCGGTCGACTCCAGGCGAGGTTCACTCCAGGAAGGTGGTGCAACGTCTTTCGAATGAGACGACGAACCAACTTCCAAACCGACAGGTCGGTAAAGTTTCTTTCCCGATTATATAAAGAAAAGAGGCTGAAGGTCGCGAGTATCCCCATGTATTTCCACCACTTTTGGATATTTAAATCGCCCAACTTCAAATGTTGCTATAACAAAAAAAAAAGATCAGGAAGTGCCATGGAGGGCAATGACAAAAGCCAACCTTCTTGGCTCAAAAGACGCGACCGGAGCACCCGCTGGTACGGCCATGCGCTTTGCGGCGACAGAAAGGCTGCTTGAACTTTTAACTTTATTTCGGCAAACATTATGCCGATGACATTGGACGGAAAGCTACCAAGAGCTAGCTCGACTGGGTCCGGTGCTTTTGCACGTACAGGGAATGCACTATTTAAAAACAAAACCGTTTAAACATTCCTAGAAATCGTACAAAACAACTCAACACATTTCATACATATTCCTATCCAAACAACTGAAAACATTCCTATAAAATTCCCCCAAAACAATTCTATTTACCCAAAACAAAATGAAAGTGTGCACCGTTCTTTTGTTAGCAACTTCGAGCCAACAAAAGTGCACGTTTTCCAGGATTCTGTACGCCCCTGGGGGGGGCCGTGCCGAAGGAAAGGAGTTGTCCCCCTTCCCCCCAGAGGGCACCACTCACCAGGTACTTGCCCTCCTGCTCGGCCTTGATGCGTGCCACGTCCAGCAGCCTCAGCCAGACCTCCGCCCGTACCGCATTGGGGATGCCCTTGTAGACGCGCCGCCGCAGCTGAAACGCAAACCGTCGGGTTAGTACAATAACCTAGGGGAAAAGGTCCCACGCGCTTAGCCCATTTCGAAACTGCGGGGCAGAGATTTGGAGTTTTCTTGCTGGCGACACTTTCATATACAGTTAAACCTCGATGTAACGAAGTCGGTAAAATTCACAAAAAATTTGGGGGTTTTACGTGCCAAACCTACGAGGGCATCTGGCACGCCCCAGCGGAGGACTGAGGATTAATTTGGACCACCTGGGGATCTTTTGACGTGCAACCGAAAGCTCGGTTACACGGCGCCTTCTCCGCAATAAGCCTCCGTCAGATTGCGGGCACCTCGGTCGGGATGGTAAAATTCGCAATTTACTTCGTTACATTGAAATTTCGCTAAATCGAAATTTGGCTTTAACATGCGAAAAAAAAAAAAAAAATTCCGAAACATTTTACGGGTATGAAAACTCACCGAAAATGACATTTATTTAGGGGCAAAGTAGTCCGCGAGTTTCGTTTGCGCCTTGTCCGACAGTAGCAGCGGCGTCATACGGCGTTCGAGCGCCCAGAGCGCTTGCACGGCATTTTGCTGCCCATGCGACGCCGTGTACCTCCTCAGTACGCCCATTGCGTCGAGCACTTCCCGAGTGCTCGTGATCTCGGCAGTTTCTTCAGGATGGCGTCCAAAACGTTCGCTTTCTCATCCAAAGAAAGAACTTTACGTTTCCTTATGGCAGCAAGCACGTGAGTGAACCGCCCAGTTGAAAAATAGAGCTGTTTAGTTTAGGCGGTGCCAATGTTTCCAACCTACACAGCACTCTTGCCCGCACAGTTTACTTGCGCCTTTGCTTTACATCACGCTCGCAAGACGATAATCGGTCTTCTCGGTCTTCTCCTAGATGGCACTGCCCGTGCGGTCGCGCGGTCGCGCCATCACGTCGCACGTCGCTCCCCCGCTGAAGTTGGCTCCCGCGCTACCCGCGGTACAGTGGACTATGATGATCAGTGAATGTCAGTGGTGATGCTATTATGCCGTGTTAACTTTTTGCTCGGCATTTTCTGGCCAGCCCCGCAGAATCCGCTTTGCCGCATGCCTCGCCGGCGCTACCGGCGCTGCATCCTTTGGCAGCCTAGGAATGTTAAAAGGCCTGTCCCCGTGAAGTAACCTATCAAGCGCTCGCGTTTGCGCATAATTTTTTTTTTTTTTTAACCACAATTTTTTTGCGAAGTTGTTTTTTAGAGTTGATTTATTTATTGCCTTCTATGGCAATGGCGCTTCGTTATATTGAAATAGCAGAAAAATAGACTTCGTTATGTAGAGGCTAAAAATACATGGGGTCTATGGGCAAGAAATTATGAAAAATAAAATACTTCGTTAAATCGAGGATTTCGTTACATTGAAGTTCGTTATATCGAGGTTCGACTGTACGCAAAGAAGTGGCAAAACACCCCCTGAAAGGTCTGTACCTGTACCCGTTTCCACCTCAAGAACCGAAGTAAAAAAAAAGTCTGCTCCTCGCAGAGTATTACTAATTTGTAGAAGAGTAGTAAGTTGGGCGAGTTGGTAAACGTTGAACATGGTTAAAATCGCGCACAAAGAGACGAGGACAAACGAGGAAGGAACACAGAACACAGACAAGCGCGCACTCACAACTCTAGTACCGTATTTGCACGAATATAACGCGAGTTTTTTTTCGAAAATACGTGTTCCAAAACGCACCTCGCGTTATATTCGGAATCGAGTTCAGCCACGAGGCGCGCGAGTATGGAGAAAGCCAGAGGAGAAAGTCATCCCTCCGGCTCAATGCAAAATATCCAATGAAAAAAGAAGTGGGGGTGTGGAGGGGCATTTTCTAGCCATGGGGTCACGTGAAGGGGCGAATAGAAAACATAAAAAAGCATTTTTATTGCTTTTGTGTTTTTACAACGCGCGCACGCCGCATGCGCGCGCGCCATGCGGGAATGCGGGCACCGGCCAATTCGAGCCAAGCCAAGCCGGGCCAAGTCAAGTCAACACAAGCCAAGCCAAAACCACCGACCGCGTTTACGCAATCGTGCAACACGAGGCATTTGTTTACGAAGAGGGATCAGAACAAGAAGTATGATCGTGTATCGGGTTCAGCAGTCTTTTTCCTGCCTGCGCATTGTTTAGTTTCTGCTCCAGAGTGGTCTGGTGTTTGTGTGTTGGTGCTTCTGCTTCCGCGCCTTGTTTGGATTGTGGGCTGCCGAGGAGCTCGCACGGAAGAAAAAAGAACTACCAGACAAGCAGGTGCCGTGCTGCTGCATACCTGCGTAGTCGCCAAGTGGATTGTAAACGGAAGGACCTGAGCAGTGAGGATGAGTGCAGCCAAAACATAAACTGATATTTCTTTTATTTCCATTGACTTTTCACTTCTGCTATGCCCCCTAGTGCGAGAAATTGACGCGGCATCGGTTCGCGTTATAATAGTAATAATATTTTTTTTTTCTTTTGGGGGGCATCAAAAACTGCCCTCGCGTTATATTCGTGGTCGCGTTATATTCGTGCAAATACGGTATATTAAGTGAAGAAGAGAAAGATGAAGCACGATTTTTTACAGGGGACAACGTCACCAGGGGGAAACAGATCATCCGCAGTCAAATGATCGCTGCGTTAAGCGCGATCCAAACCAACGCTTCTTTTTGCGCCTGTAGGTCGTGCGGCTGCGGATGTGACGCATTTCGTGGCTTTTTTGCTGTTTCCGGGCGCGCTTTCTGAGTCAGAACCGTGCGCTTTGGTTTGGACGGGCGAAACTTCGGCACGAGCGCACAAGCAAAGTGGAACTGCGACAGAATGGCCGGCCAGACGGCGAGAGAAAGAGAGAGAGAGAGAGATCGCGTTGTCATGTTGGAAGAGAATAAAAGGGGGAGAGGAGAGGGCAGCCAGACGGCGAGAAACGCGGAGCCGGAACTAGCTTGCCCTCCACCGATTGGCCGGGACGCAGGCGCGCCCTGCTACGTCACCGCGCGTTTTTGTGCGCGTCCAGAGAGAAGTTGAAATCAACCAACTTTTTTATGCGCGCCCGGAAGGAGCGAAGAAGCGGCCCGACGTCACGAAAATGCGTCACATCCGCAGCCGCACGACCTACAGGCGCAAAAAGAAGCGTTGGTTTGGATCGCGCTTTAGCCAGCCGTCGGTTGCTTTGAGTGAAAAAGAAGTTGCCTTCTTGCGATCATTTGACTGCGGATGATCTGTTTCCCCCTGGTGACGTTGTCCCCTGTAAAAAATAGTGCTTCATCTTTCTCTTCTTCACTTAATATACTAGAGTTGTGAGTGCGCGCTTGTCTGTGTTCTGTGTTCCTTCCTCGTTTGTCCTCGTCTCTTTGTGCGCGATTTTAACCATGTATTACTAATTTACCCTTTTATGTCGAGAATTAGATATATGTAGGTGCACTTTAGATTAAATATAGGTTATGAAGACGTACACGTTTTAGCAGTCCTTCTTCCTCTGGTATAAAAGACTCCAAGTAAATAACCAAAATAAGGCGTTTGTAAGATGCCGTTTGATTTATGCTTTTGCTTTAGGACAGTTACTGCTGCAGATGCTGGCACGTGCAGCGCGTGGAACACCATCCCCTGCATCCTCCTCGATGCTTGGGTAATTTAGCGATAGGTCTGTTCAGTAGGTTAGTTATCAATAGACACCATTTTCAAGATCAGTAGACCCTCACGCAGACAACAAAGGTTTGTCAAAGATTTGCTGCTGTGCAGCCCTCGTCGGCCATGTCTATGCTCACACCACCCTCTCTTTGTCGTCGTTCCAATGCTTGCGTGCCTAGTTTCCTTTCCTTCCGCTCTCCCAGGGTGGCGGTCCTGTCACTCAAGTCTACTTTCTGCCGAGTGGCGGTGTTATCGCACGTGTCTCGTTTCCCCCGGCTCCTCGGGCCAGGTCTGTGTCGTCTGCTAAACAGCTCCGCTGGTCATCCACCTTCACAAAGTGGAACGGCTCATAATTTTTCCATTTTAAGCACCGTTTTAGTAGACCAGAGCAATCCATTATTGCGTAACTATGCCGTAATAATGTGCCAAATGCTTCCCAGCACGTTGGTTACATTTCACGAGCTCTGTAGGTCTCTCCCCTGCTTTACCGCAACAATGCTGAGACCCGATGGGGGCTCCTCGGCCGTTGGTAAAGGGGCCCTCCAATCATATTTAAGCATCTACCGTTTTTGCTGTTTCCACGTCCCTTGGGGTTCAGGCAAGCCAGCGGGCACGGAGAGAGTAACTAAATATCAGTGCGTCACATTTTAACCGGACGACGCGGAAACCTCCATCACCGCAGGAGGCGACCTGCAGTATTGAAAACACGCGGTATGTGACGTCTTTGGTTTTGGGCTTACTACTGGTCAGAGCTGCTAAAAGCTTCTTTTAGTCGAAATACAAAATATAAGTGGCGCGAATTGTTTCGGTTATTTATAAAAGTAGTTTTTGTTCAGTATTTTAGATCAGAGAAGAAAAAAATGCAGTTTATAAGGTACGGAAACAAGAAATAACCCGTCGACATACCCGCCACCAAGCGGTGGAAAAGGCGGCGCATACTAGAAAGGAGTAGTGGGACCGACACCCAGGCACCGACACAGAAAGGTTCCGGATGTATGCGGCGGCGCTGCGGTCGTTTACGGACTGGAGGATCCGATCGGCTCCGAGCATTCCGAAGGCCTTCAGCGAGCAGCTTTGTGTTGCGTTTTGGCTGTTTCGCGGTACGGCAGTGCGAAGTGGCTCCCGTTCTGAACTGATCTTTACCCCGTGTTTGCTGTCGTTTGTGGCCAATAAAGTGTCATGCCGAATTAGTGTTTAATCGCGCAGCAAATGCAATGAGAGCCGCTCTGGCTGCCCGCAGTATACAGCCTATTCAGAACACACTTTAGCGGCACCCTCTTGCGCCGTCGACACGGAGTGCGGCAGCCGTGAGCGCTTGCTGAGCTCACTATCCCTCCTCTAGTTCACGGCCACTCAAGCAACCAAGGACGTCATAAGGGAGGCTATTTTTTGCTTGTTTTTGTA